GATTCACGGATGCTCAGCTCAGCCACATCACCATACACGTCTGTTTTAAAGCGTCCTTTGCTTTCTATTAAACTACCATTCTTTGTCCAGGAAATAGAGGGCTTTGGCACACCACCGAAATTCACCGTGATACGTGTTGTGAATCCGGCTTTAACGCTTATCTCTCTTAATCGTCTGTCTAGCTCTAAGGTTGGTGGTTCTATAGAAACGAATAATAACAATGATGATGATATCAAAAACATCAGTAATAATAATAGTAATAATAACAACAAAAACAACAACAAGCATCTTACGTTGGATTACAAGCTCAGCGGAACGGCGTGTCTTTCCAGCTTCATTTTGAACAACCACAGTGTACGATCCTATGTCAATTTGGTGTGGATTTGGTATAACAAGTCGATGTTTACCATCACCTTCATCAAAGATGTGGTACCGTTTACCAGGGTACATATCTCGACCCTTCCTTACCCTGTATGCAAAACAGATAATATTGTGAGCCACTAACGTAGCCGTCGGAAACATTTTGCAAGTAGTAAGAAAGTAGAGATAAGAACGGTGGTGGTGGAGAGGGGCGCTTAACAACTAAATTGCAGATCTGCTACGGATACAGGATATAAAGTAATTGGGGTACCGAGTCTGAGTGCTTATCAACCTTATCCCCCACCATGACTGGTGAACATTTTTTTGGCACCTCTCGATGCTCGGAAAGAGCAGCCGGCAACCCGTGGGGTTGTACACGATAGTGAATGCAACGCTACCTCTAAAACGGGGGTGTGCACCGTCTTCCTCCGCTTCACGCCTGTTCATAAATTAAATTTTAATTTCTTGTGGCTTAAACGCCCCTTGAGAAGGATTTTACTGTGGAAAGCGCTATAAAAACACATCACAATTGACTATCAAAGTCGCTACCCTTCCCCTCAATGGGGTAGCCACAACCATATTTTGGAAATATGGTACCTAGATGCCCGAAAGTAGCAGCTGACAATTGTAAAGCCGCTACCACACACAGTTGGAATATTGTGAAAGTCAAATGCCCGAGCGGTTAAGACAGGGGCATCGTAACCTACAGCCAACAATATCGGCACGGGTTCGCGGCCTGCTCGCTCCTAGTTCTGGTGGTGGAACAAGTCTTCTCGGATAAGGACTATAAACCGTAGGCGTAGTGTACACACAAATTTAATGTTCATGTACTCTTTAAAGAACCCAGTACATCTTTCAAGACGAGAAGGGGTTTTATTTTATTTATTTTATTTTATTCCTTTCAGCCAGAACCACAAAAAGCAATCAAAAAAGAAAGAGGAGGGCAGAGGAGGGCTGAGGAGAGGCAAAAGCGGTACAAAAACTACTACCACCGGATATGGTGTGCCCCTCCAGCTCCAAATTCAATATTATTAACTAATATAAATATTAATTTTATCAAAAATATACCGGTTACCCCGGTGTATTGGTCCACCCGGCCCCGATCGTGGACAGATGAAAGTGCGCTGGTTTACCCGCTGCTGAGGACATGAAGTGGACCTCAGGGGAGGAGAAAGTTACTGAAAATTTAACATCTAGTCATAGCCCACACATCAAGCGCCATGAGCATCATGTTTTATGGATACCGGCCCAATAATAATAATAATAATAATAATAATAATAATAATAATAATAATAATAATAATAATAATAATAATTATTATTATTATTATTATTGTTATTGTTAATATTATATATAATAATAATAATAATAATAATAATAATAATAATAATAATAATAATAATAATAATTATTATTATTATTATTATAACTGAATTAGATTCCCAGAAATATCAGCTATAGACTGCTATTCCAACCTCATGAATGGGCAGATACAGGATTGGAAGTTAGTGTGGTTGAAAATGGCTCCTCTGCCAGAAAATAGCACATGCATACTTTAGAAAAAATGGATGTCCTTTACGTTAGGAGTTTAAATTTTGAATGCAAGTAATCAGGGTCGGCTTGACCCATATATTTGTGTAGACAGTTTGGCCAAATCTAACACTCAAAATTTTAAATAGTTAATTGTTATGATATATATATTTATACCTCTAAACATATTAAAAATATGTACTAATTACTAAAATTTAGGATTGTCCATAAAAGTTGAAATGTACAAAAACAATGGTGGAATTTTGTTATAATATATAGACATTAAAAAGACAATGTGATGCGAATATTAATAATAAATCCATATAGTTTATGGGTATCAGTATAATGATTTATTTAAAATGTTATTGAATTGAGAAAAACTCGTCCGGCCAAATCCGGTGCGGCCGGCCGGTGAGGTACCGACGGCCCTGAATTGACAATGACATGTTTAACAAATATCTTAATACATTGTGAACTTACCAAGTTACAAGAGGAACAGGTAACCCAGACACGTGACAGGTAAATTCTGCCGACTGCCCTTCTTTTATCATAACATCATGAGGCTCTTGAACGAATGACGGACACTCGCCAGCTTTTAGACAATGAATAATAGACAAACAATGATAACATTTAAAGATAACCATAAATATATTTAATCAGTTGAGAATAAAACGATTGTAAACGATCAAAAACTATGTAAGCATTTTTAAAACATTTCACATACCACATGGGTCTTTAGCAACGAATGGCTGTGACGCTTTACTTGGGTCACTCTCCAGTCCAGCCTTATTCACAGCACGAACTCTGAAGACGTATTCTCGATTCTGTACTAGGTCAGTAACCCTTATGGATATCTCTTTAGTCGTCTGCCTATCCGTCCAATCTAATGTATCTCTCATACGTCTTTCAATTACATAAAAAGCGATCGGTGATCCACCATCGGATAGAGGTAAGGTCCAATTCAGAACAACGGATGTAGCTGTAATATCACTGACGGATGGACATCCAGGAGGAGATGGTCTCACTACGATGAATAAGTATTAAAATAGTTTTATACTTATATAGTTTATAATTATATTTCGGTCGTAAAAGCTTTAAGTATCAACAAAAATAACTGAAATACATCAAACCTGATTACTTACATGATGGATCTTTGGCCAACCTTGGTGGTATTGTGGTTTCACTTGGTTTACCTTTGCCTTCTTTGTTCACTGCCGACACGCGGAATTCGTACTCGTGGTTTTCCAAAAGATTGTTCACAGTGTATGAAGTTACAGACATTGGTTCTCTATTGATCTCCAACCAATTAATGCTAGATATATCACGCCTTTCGACAATGTATCCCAGGAGTGGTAACCCGCCATCGTATCGAGGAGCTGACCAGGTAAGTGACATGCTAGTACTTGCTATGCTATGGACTTCTGGTCTTCCAGGTGCACTTGGTACGGCTGGGTAAATAAACAAAAAATGAATTTTTATATAGATAAAAGTAATTATTATATAAAAATACGAGGTAGATGTAAGAGATCAATCAGGGTTGATACACCAATAACTTACTATGAGGTCTGGAACAAGCGATGGTTTTGTCTCCAAACAACGGCGGTCCCACGCCATTTTGGTTTTCTGCGCAAACTTTGAACTCATATTCAACACTTTCTTGGAGACCAGTCACTGTATAGGATGTGTTACAGCAATAGCTTGTTACAGTAGTCCAACTTTTACGACCAACTTCGCGTTTCTCAATTGTGTAACATTCAATTTTACAGCAACCGTCATCCTTTGGTTGTTTCCATGACAATCCAGCTGAGAACTGACCAACATCCAAAATATTCAATGGCCCTTCAGGTGCTCCTGGAACATCTGTTGTAAGAATATATGTATATATATATATATATATACACATTAATATGACGAACAATATTAAATACTATATAAAGCTGAATATATGATTACAAATTTAAAATATACTGGTGACTATACAATGTGCACATCTTAGCGCTAAATATAAACTTACCAAGTACAATAACAGTGATATTTCCCGTTTTCTTCCCAACCTGGTTCGAGACAGTCACCGTATAGATTCCTGCATCTGACCTTTTGATATCACGAATTGTAAGCTGGGTCCTGTTTTCTGAGCTCTCAATCTTCGTTGTCAAAGCATCTTTAATGCACAGGTCATGACGGTACCAACTGACAACGGGTACAGGACAGCCACTGATCGGTACGTTCAATCTTAATACACCACCACTGCGAACTGTCACGACATCCTTATAACTTCCAAGATCAATTTCAGGAGCAGCTGTAAGAATATTTGGAGATTGGTTAGCTTAATACAGATTGTAATATCCTTCACTATCTATAGTTTCCTTGCTCAGGAAATTTCTTTTATGGTATTAGAGAAACTCAACGGTAATAGGAGGATATCCACACTGTAACAAGGAAATTTGTTATGAAAGTGCACGTGTATATAATACTGCTGTAAAACGAAAGAAAATATTAAAAAAAATACCTGAAACTGTAAGATTAGCTTCCGTTCTTTCGTCATGACAGACACAACTATACTTTCTAATATCATGTGGACCAACATTAAAAAGCGTCAATGCTCTACGTTGTCCCTCTTTTGCGATTTTGATGTTGTCAACAGAAAAAACTTGCACTCCATCTCGATACCAAGAAACATCAGCTTTGTCGTTGGATATTCTGCATTCAAATGTAACAGTTGCACCAACCTTAGCTGAAATATCCTTCAGTGGTTCCAAAAACTCAGCAGTTTCTAAATATTCAGATATTATATTTTAACATAAATAGTGGTTCTATAAATATAATCAACTGCAGACAAAATGGTTTAATTTAGTGTATAGTTACTTGAAGACATAACATTTACATAGCTTACATTTTGTAGTATAGAATTTATAATAAACAATAGTAACAGGTTAGACATTTATAGTTATCATATCATATATCATATCATTAATTTTTCTCTAACATAACATACAATACAAAAAAAACATAAATAGTAAGTCTGCCGAGGCAGCATTGCCAAAATTTTGTAAAAAATAACAGTCAAAGTGGCTCTCCACACAGTTAATTAATTAGAGGGCACTATACTATTAATATACTACTAATACTATACTATTAATAGAGGACACTGAGTCATTGTGTGCGTGTTTTTTTCGATTGAGTTCTACAGTGCATATAAACTATAATGCTTTAGAATTGTAATTTTCTTTTAATTGTATACCTTAAATGTTTTCCTTTTATTTTAGTAGTAGTATTTATATTTTGGCTTATTTCATTATTTCACTTAAAAAAAATATATATATATATATATATAATAAATTAAAAATAAAACTATATGTTGTTAACAACATTTTGCTACTACTAAGCGTATCTATAGTTTGTGTTTGAATGCTATTGTTATTATATATAAACGTGTTTTTATACGTGTGTGGAATGTGGTAGATTAATTATACACATCT